CCACCCACCCACCCCCGGGGATCATTAAAGTATTCTGATTCTGATGAGATGGTCTTTAACACATGGTAGTTCTCAATGATTCAGTGTCAGTCAAATGTGTCTCCATTTCCAGTTCCGACTGCGTTTTTTGGATCCAGCTCAGCTGTGATCCCAGGTGACCTGAGCGTTGCACGCAAATGATTTTGACATCGACAGACTGCTGCTTGCGGATTGATTGAGCCCAAGCAGAACTTGCAAACTCTTCCTAGAGAGGAGTGAAAACATTTTTATCTGTTTTAGGAGATGAGCGCATACAGCCTGAGCTCGACGGAGCAGTCCGAAATGAGCAGGTATACTGGCAGGTTTCAGACAAACAGGCCACTCATGGTTACATGAGCATTTATAAACAGTACCACGACAAAGTAACAAAAAAAAAGTCAGATGATTGGACAATAAAACTTCAATGGCCAAACCCACTCATGAGAAATCCACTGCCATGAAGACATGAAAAAATTAGAGTGAGATTTGATAATGGAGAAAGGCTGAAGAGAAACTGCAGGGTCCTGGTAAGCCCGTCCCACTTCAGCACAGTGGATGTTTATTTTCATTTGATGATGGAGTTGAATGATCTGGTATTTCTGTTGTGAATCAAGAAGAAGTGACATTTTGTAAATCTGATACAAACAGACCGCCACCATTTCAGACAGATGGAGCAAGAACATGCCCCTACACTGTCCTCCGAGCATTCAAACTGTGCCATCTCCTTCCTCGAGCTCAATGACTATTTCTATTATCTACTATTTGTAAAGATGGCTGTACTTTCTAACTTTCAAAAAGATGGAATTTTCAACGTGCAACCACATCAGCAAAAACAAAGTTTGGCACTTTAATTGAGTATCAATCCAAGTTTATCACCTGGAGTATCAGCTAGTATCACATCAAACTTTAGCTCAGCTGTAAAAACGGACTGAATTAGAGTCATTTTTGTGTTTTCTGCTGTCAGTTGGCTGCGGCAGCCATATTAAAATCATACAAAATATTTTAAAACACGACAGAAACACACCAAATACAGGTGGAAACATTATCGCACTTTTAATTAAAACAAGGAGGAACCCATTTTATTTCCTTACCAGACTGTGTCCATTGATGACTAAGGCGTACTCTGCAATAATGGCTTCTTCAAACACAGAATCGTCTGCAAACATGTCGGTCTTCTCTACGTCTCCTGCGCTGCTCACCCGGCTCAGACCGATGATGTGCTCCTTAGCACTCCTGAAAAGAGATGGCAGATGATAAACAAGCATTTTAAGTACATTTAATTTTAAACATGTACAGTTTACATTTAGTGTTTACCCATTTGGATGTTTTAACTTTGTAATGCTAACATAGATCACTGTTGGTCAATATATTTTGGATGTAAAAGCAACAAGACACAGCAAAACCTCTGGGTTGGGACTTGGTTGTGGATCAATCTGGTGTATGTTTGTGCAGCGAGTTACCTGAGCTGCTGCTGCACCTCCAGCTGTGTGTGTCCAGACACAACAAACACCTCGTTCATGTCGTCTCGCAGCATGTTGCAGGAGTATCCGATGCTCATGGCAGTCTCTGAAGTGTCAGAGTTAACAGACGTGACGTTTCTCCACAGACCAGTGAGCGGTCTTTTTTATAAAGCAGCAGCCTTATTTAGGTGATTTAGTTTCTGTTACCGAGTTTGTCTCCTGTCAGGACCCAGATCTTGATGTCAGCCAGACTGAGACAGGCGATGGTCTCCGGCACGCCTTCCTGAAGTTTGTCCTCGATGGCTGTGGCTCCTAGAAGCTTCACCAAGTCAGCAGTCAGTCTGAAGCTGCTAACTGAGACTGAGCCCTGCTGAGGATGTAATCAAAAGGATGACAGGGTTTCTTACTTACCTTCATGCCCTGTTCCATCTCCTCATACAGAGCAGCCAGCTGCTCCTCCCGGTTCTCGATCACGGTGCTCGCACAGCGAAGCCTCTTCATCCAAACCTCGTAAAGTTCTTCATCGATGTCTTTGTAGGCCAACACTAGTGTCCGAAGGCCTTCTCCTGCAAATTCCTGCGAGGAAACAAACACAGCTCTGTTCAGCTGAAGTGTGTGATGAGTCATTTACTTAATCTACCAGAACAGGCTCTAAGAATAGCCACTGTTCTCCACAAAACTCAAAACTGTTGTTTTTGTCTGCTTATACATATCTGTTTAATGTAATGTACATATTTGTCGCTTTGATTTATTTGGAATAATAAGATATTTATGAAGTAAAGATCCGAAGAGACTTCTTTTACTGTGTTTACATAATGAAAAACCTTTAAAGATATGAAGTCTGAATAAAAGCTGATTGCCCTCCCACAGAAAACAATTTCTGTTTGCCTGAAAAGCCTCATTAGTCATCAAGGCTATTCATTTCTTTAAGGGTATTTATGTATTAATCTGTCAAACATCGTCAAAGTGTCTGACTCTTAAAGAGACAGCAGCAAAAATTGAGCTTTTTGATAAAATCAATAAATAGGGAGAAAATGTGTTTTGATTTAATTATATACATATTTTTTGTAGACTGTGAAAACTGAGGTTGTTTTTGTTTAGTTTTTCTTGGTTGTAGAT